CTCATGCTTCCAATTATATCAGGCTATCTTGTCAGTTTCCCCTTTCCAGGTGGATCTATGTATGTTTTTCTTAGGGCTCAGCTTGTTACTTAGCTTCTCTAGGATCATAATCTATTCTCTAGTCTCAATATTCTTTGCTTTAAAGCTAGTATCCACTTATGAGTGAGTGCATACCATGTTCATCTTTCTGGGTCTGGATTACCTAGCTCAGGGTGGTTTTACTGAGATCCATCCATTTGCATGCAAATTTCAAGATGTCATTGTTTGTTACTGCTGAATAGTACACTAATGTGGAAATGTGCCACATTTTCTTTATCCATTCTTTGGTTGAGGGGTATCTAGGGTGTTTCCTGGTTCTGGATATAGAAAATAATGTTGCTAATAACATAGTTGAACCAATGTTCTAGTAGTATGATTGAGCATCTTTAGGGTATCCTAAAATAGATTGATTCTCAATTTTCTGAGAAACCACCATACTGATTTCCAAAGTCTTGTACAAGATTTCATTCCCACCAGCAATGGAGGAGTGTTCCCCTTACTCCACATCCTCTCCAGCATAAGCTGTCATTGGTGTTTTTGATCTTAGCCATTATGACTGGTATAAGATGACATCTCGGAGTTGGTTTGATTTGTATTTCCCTAATGGTTAAAAATATCGAATATTTCCTTAAGTATCTTTCAGTCATTTGAGATTCTTCTGTTGTGAATTCTGTTTAGTTGTGTACCACACTTTTTAATTGGGTTATTTGGAATATTGATGTCTAATTCTTTGAGGTCTTTATATATTTTACAGTTCTGTCCTCTGTCTGATGTGGAGTTGGTGGAGATCTTTTCCCATTCAGTAGGCTACCATATTGTTTTATTGTCCGTGTCCTATGCTTTACAAAAGCTGTTCATTTTCAGGAGGTCCCATTTATTTATCGTTGCTGTCACTGTCTGTGCTACTGGTGTTATATTTAGGAACTGGTCTCCTGTACCCATTCATTGAAGGCTATTCCCACTTTCTCTTCTATCAGGTTTAGTGTGGTCAGATTTATATTGAGGTTTTTAATCCATATGAACTTGAGTTTTATCATAGGGATAGATACAGATCTATTTGCATTCTTCTACATGTTGACATCCAGTTATGTAACAAATAATTGTTGAAGATGCTTTGTTTTTTTTCCATTGTATATTTTTAGCCTCTTTGTCAAAAACCAGGTGTTCAAAGGTGTGTGGATTAATATCCAGATCTTCGATTCATTTATAATGGTTAACCTCTTTGTTTTTATGCCAATACCAAGATTTTTTTCATTATTATAGCTCTATAATAGAGCTTATGTCAGGTATACTGATGCCTCCGATAGTTCCATTATTGTTCAGGATTGTTTTAGCTATCCTGGGTTTTTTGTATTTCTTATTCTACATTGCCCTCTTACCCCCACCCCATTTAATGCTTCTTGTTCCATTTGGACTTTTTAACCCTTTATATCACTGTGCTTGATCTTCTTTACCTTGAAACTTTCCTTCTTAATGACTTCTTGGCACCCATGGGGATTCCAAACAGAATACATATGTCAGAAGATCCCAGTTAACATCCACAAATGATAGAAAGGGTGTGACATTTGTCTTTCTAGATTTCAGGTACCTCACTCAGAATGATTGTTCCCAGATTACCTCCAAATTTCATAATTTCATTTTTAACACATGAATAATATTCTTTTGTGTAATGTACACATTTTCACTATCCATTTATCAGTTGATGACCGTCTAGCATTGGAAATAGAGCACCAGTGAAGGAGGAGCAATTATCTCTACAGTAGAATATCGAGTCCCTGGAGTCCCTGGGTGAGTTACTAAGGGAGATACTGGTAGGTCATGTGGTGAATATGTTCAAACTTTTTGGAATATCTCCACAGTGATCTCCATAGTGATTGCACTACTTCACACTCCCACCAGTGGACAAGCATTCACAGCCCCACATCCCTGTCAGCATTCTCCAGCATATTTTTATCTTACCAATCATGTTAGGTGAAGGAGAAATCTCAAAGTAGTTTCATTTGTATTGCCTTGATAGCTAAGAACAGTTAAAGCTGAACATTTTTTTAAAAAACTGTATTTTTCAGTCATTTCTGCTTCTTTTTAGAACGCCTTTTTTACTGCATGTGTTCAGGTACTATATGTACATCTATGTACCATGTATGTGACTGGCATCTGAAAAGGTGAGAAAAGTGTATCAGATTCATGCTTCAATTTTAATTGAATTATTTGTGGTTTCTGTTGTTTAGTTTCTTTAGTTCTTTGTATATTCTAGATACTAAACCTTTCAGATGCATACCTAGTCAATATTTTTCCCATTCTTTACACAATATCTTCCCTCAAATTATGATGTTTTTTACTGTTCAGAGCTTTCTAATTTCATGTGGTCCTATTCACAATTGCTGGTCAGAAGGCCTGTACTATTGGAATTTTGTTAAGAAAGCTGTAGGCCAGTAAGTTCCCAGAGACCCACAAATTATACAGATTATTTTCAGTGTTTTTGATTACCTCACAGAATGTGACAATAAGACCCTGTTGCTGAAGAAATTGCATGATTGACTCACAGAGTCTGTAGAGATGAAGCTGCTCCTCACCTGGAGCCTCATCTCCACTGATTAGCTTCTATGGTGTGAGAAGGGGCCATGAAACTACTGCAGGAGAAAAGTTGTCACCACTTTGCCCCAGCTGTGGATCGTACACACAATCATTACCAGCTGTCAACACGGGTCCACAGGTGCAGTAAGGACAAGTGACATGGGAATGAACAACTACCTACTGGCTCGACTTAAGGTCCACGTTGAAGTTGGACCCCATACCTGGTGTGTTACAGCTCTGAGGGGAAAGGCTTTCCCACGTGAAGTATTGTAGCTCTGGGAGCGAAGTTTCTCCCACTGCAAGGGTTAATATTCTGAAAGGGAAGGTATCCTGGCAGGTGGCAGCCAAGCGAAGTCATATCGCATAACAAATCTCACACAAGAGATTCATTTGTAGAGAAGAACCTCGAGATGGTGGGCACCTTTGCTCAGGCCAGAAGCACCAGGAAACTGAGCAGAATACATGTATTCATGTATGGTTTCTTGCAGGTGAAGATTTCCAGGGTGGGGATTGCTTGGCGGGTTTCCAATTTCTGAGCTTAGCCACCTGTACCTGGAGGGGCTGGGTCTGGCTGTTAGGGTGTTCTGTAGACAGAGCCTGGCATTTGGAGTTCTTTAGGAGTGTGGTCTGGCCACTCATGTGTACCTCGAGGTGCTTACACCAGGCATCAACAGCAGGGACAAGAAACATCACAGACTCTAGGGACGAACTAACTACAGTTTTTCTGTTAAATAGGTATACTATTAAACCAATTTCTAACGACTTAACATTACACTTGTAGATTAGCACACCTCTCAACCTTCATCAGAGAAGCTTCTTTTTGCAGTAGATGGCAATGAACATGGTGACTCACAACTTGTCAGGGGGACAGAGAAGAAAAAGAAGATCTCTCATCTCCAAATGGGTCACCGATAACACAACCTGTCCTCCCAAGGCTCTGGGCTCGTTGCTTAAGAAAGAGCAGAGAAATTGTAGAGCTGGAGACAGTGGGTGACAGAGAGAAACAACAGGGCAGTGGCACAGATTCCTTCTCAGCTGTTCTGATTTATGGGAACTGCACACGCTCAAGCCAGAAAAAAGCCCAGCACAAAACAATTGGCCTGATGTTGAACCTTCAGCTAAAGAGCTTAGAGCAATCTATAGTTGTGGGGAGAGGAAAGAGTTTTAAGGATGTGGTCCCTGCTGGTCAATCATCTGACCTGTCAATCACACATCTGATAGTGTCTTGGCAGTACAGGTTGGACTTGATGGGTCAAATAAGACAGCAAGGCGCATGTACTATGGAAGTGTTGTTAAATTCATGAGGACTCGTGAGGAAAGGTGAATATAATCAAAAATAGTGTGTGAGATTCTGTCAGGCATGGTTTTCAATGGAAAAAAAAACAGAAAAAAGATGGCTCTACCTAGAACTATATCAATGTCCAATATCTGAGTTTAACTGTATAGCTGTTTATAGATGCTAAAAGTCATAATTTATACCATTGCCATATATTTGGACATATTCTTAATTACATTTTAGTATATTCTCATTAGTTTAGTATAAGATATTAAAGTAAACAAAAGCAAAGTTTTAACATTTTCAAATACTGGTTTCTGTACTCAGATGTGATTTAGTGGTAAGAGCACTAGCTACTCTAAGAAATGACCAAATTTGGGTTTCCAGCATCACATGGTGGCTCTCAATGATCTGTCCAGAACCAGGGAATCCAATGCCTTCTTTTGACCTTCATGGTACCAGGCACATGTGCAGTACACATACACACATGCAGGAAAAAAATCATACACATAATTTTTTAAAAAAATTAATTACCTTATGTCATGTCTCTTTCCAGTATAACACATTTTGATTAAGTAATGTCTATAATCATTTCCCAACTTCTAGTTTTTGCTCTTACATTTTGTATGGTAAGCAATGATAATCTGTCAAACCTGGGCTTTTGAATGGCAAGACGGAGCAGAACTATCTATGACCCATATTGTTTCTAGGGAGAGCACAAAGTTGAGTGGTGAAACACTGATATTTTTATTTTTTATTTAATTTTATTTAGAAAGGCTAAACTTATTCACTTGTCAATTTTTCTTCAACTCTAAGGAAATAGTTTTAAAAACATAAGGTTGAAAATACACTCAAGAGTAACTGCTGATACACAGTTCTGAAAAGGCAGAAAATGTGCTTTCCTTTTACAGAAAAGGTTAAATCTGTATTAGCAGAAAATTTTATACATAGAAATAGGATGGCTTTAAAACTCCAGATTTGTGTAAACATAAAACACATCCTTTCCTAGTCTTAGGAAATCCAAATCAGCCCCGTTCACTCTGGAAGGCTTCTTCCCAATATAGTTGTCCACAGTTGGGAGCTTGCTCTGGTCCCCATCAGCCTTGGGCTCTCAACCCAGACTTAGGTCCAACACCAGGCCAGAAAACACGTTCAGGTCCTTCCGGAATGGCTGGGCTGCCAGGATCTCTTCGATCTTCTGTTTTTGCTCAGAATCAGGGAAGATCTTCAGCAGGGCCTCCCTCAGCTCACTGGTCTCTGCAGAAGATCTCTGTGCTGGCATGAGATGGTTCTGCTCTATACCCAAAATGCTGGCCAGAGATGTGAAGTGGGGCTGCTGAGAAAGCCAAGGGTCTGAAGACGTTCCCTGGTTCCAATATGGAGGCTGGTAGCTGGTGATGGCTACTTGGGTGTTATGGCTCCGGGCGAATGTATCCACATTTGGCAGGGCACTGAGTAGAGGCTCCAGGACTCCAGAGCCCTCCTTTCCAAGGAATTCTTCTAGCCGAGGTCCGTTTCTTCCCAGAGGGTTGTCAGGAACCATAAATGTGTCCCTACGAATGTGTACTGAAGCAATCTTTTGGCGATAATTTCTCTCCAGGACACTGACTCAGTCACAAACCCTCTGAAGTTATTATTGCTTACAATGACACCCCCAGATTTGTGCAGTAAGTGAAGTAGGAAGCTGTCAACATGAGAAGCTGCAATTCGTTCTCCAAAGACCGTCCTGGAAGGAGTTAGAGATAATATTCCAAGCTCCTTCAGCTGGATCAAGAAGTGCTGTTCTGTGACATTAGGATGGTGCCTTGTTCTCCACTGAGGCACAAACACAGTGATGTTTCTGTGGTCAAGCTTCCAAAAATATTCAACAGCAATTGCTATTCCACGGCAACTGAAGAACTTGTTCAGACCGTGGGTAAATGCGACATTACATCCATCTATAACAATATGCTTCAAATCTGCTCTGCCGGGTTCATTTTTTAATTCCAGTTTATAGGGTATTTTCAGCATATCTCTGAATCTCTGAATCCCCATAACTACAGAATCAGTATGATCGGAGGCTCCTGCCAATACCAGATCAGTATTGGTATCTGAAGGTAAGAGCTGGGGCAGTGACAGCAATGGAGAATTCTGGGAAAAACGTGGCTTAGGCTGAGGGGAACTGTAGAAGCCAGAAGGTTTCTTACAGTCAGCCTTTGCATTATTGGGAAGCGAGGGATGAGCTTGATGTAGAAAGTCATTTTTGGGAAAAGCTGGGCCCCTCTGGTGGCCTGTAGCTCCCCTCAAAATGAAGCTGACTTCTTCAGGACTGGAAGAGGAAAGAGACGGTGAGAGGCCATTGCTCTCAAGGTCCACATTACCACTGTCCTTCTCGTTTGTGCCCCACATTTCACGTTTCTGTCCTGCTGGCCCTCTTCTGAAACAATTTACTCTGCCGTTTGAGGTATACGATCTAGAGTCTGTAAATGGTAACTGGGAAAACTTTTCTTCCACATTTTGCTCTGTGTGACTCCGTGTGTTCTTGGGAGTGGAATCTCCTGTGAGCTCATCTGTGCTGCCCAAAACACCTGCACTTCTGCTCTGAGCAGCATCTGGACACACTGAGCAAGGGGCACAAGCTCTGTGTCCTTGGAACCTTTGGTTCTCTTTCTCAATTTCCCCCGAGCACAATAATGGTTGTGTAGAAGGCCCATACTTCCTGATGACTTCATCAACAATCTCTTCGTAATAGCCCATGTTACTAAAGAATTTCACAGCGATGATGTACTTTATTTCTTCTGTGCAGACTGATATTTTGTGAATGTTCTGCACCAACTTGACTTTCTCTATCAAGTTGATTTGTCTGCATAAGTGAAAAAGAACAGAAAGGGCATCACACTTAACCAGTTCAGCTCATAATAGACCCTTGTCAGTCAATAAAATCAATTGGCCAGAACAAATTTACAATGTTACTATTGACATGATTGTAGGAGAGAATTGCCAGCATTGATTATACTCAGTTGGTTATGGTAAGCACAAAAAGAACATGATGTTTGCACAGGATGAGATGGGGCACTCTGGGAGGTGATGGAGGTCTGATGAAAGGTAGATTGATTGATCAAATACATTGATTATGTGTATAAAAGGACCACAGAAGGAATGAAAAAGAGAAAGGAAGAACTCAGTAATGGAGTCCGGAAGTTAATGAGAACAGATTTTCTCCAATAGACAGTGTCTTTTTTCACCTTATGTCAGTTTACATATTAAAGTCTATCACCAAAAGAAGCCAAAGCAGAAACTCCACACAGGAATCTGGAGAAGAAAACAGAGAGGGTGGAGCAGTGCTGAAGATCCAGAGGGCACGGAAGCCAGCTCACCACTGGCTCTTACCTCAACTTCAGTCTGAAATGGAGATCCTGCCTCCAGGAACTTCAACATGAGACTGTGTGAGAAGAATTGTTTCCTCCCGATTTATATTCCTCTCTATGGCTGGGATGAAAGGAATGTACCACCCTATTTTATGAAAATTAGGGTGGCTACTCGGATTAAAGGTGTGTGTCATTCTGTTACTGGGATTAAAGGTGTGTGTTACCATAATCTGGTCTGGAAGACTAATCAGTGGGATCACTTTACTCTCAGAAGATTAGGGAATGGTACTACATAGTTATCAAAAGAAAATTTCACCAAGACGACCTTTTAATTCTTAACATCTATGCCTCAAACACTATTAATCTCTATTCTGCCACATGGCTCAAGCTTTTTACCTCTTTTTGGACACATCCTGCTCCCTGGATGTCTGGCTGGCAACTCCTCTGATCCACACTTTCTCAAACCATCATTTTCAGTTGGCATTTTTTACCTTTTTTTATTCTGTTTAGCTATTGGCCTGTCAGCTTGTGTAATAAACCAATCATAGTGACATGGATTTACACTGTGTACCGAAAGATTATTCCACAGAGCACGCACGCACACACACACACACACACACACACACACACACACACAATGCTTCAGTGTGACATTCTACAGAATGTTCTCACTCCTGAGTATTGAGTACAGTACTCAGATTCATCATTCCCTGTCTTCTTAATACCATTCACCTAACTCATAGCAACTTGTGCACTATAACTGACTTGCAGGTTTTTCTCTCTGCACACTATCCTATCAACATATCCATTTACCAAAGAAATCTTTTTGACAAGTATACTGCCCTCTGCACAATATCAGGGTTTCATATATGATCAAAGGAAATTCTCTGTGTGTCGTTCAGTTTTTCCTGTATAGAAAATCTTTCCATTCTAGTTCAGAGTCTGAAGAGAGCAGGAGGTTGGGAGCAAAATGCAAAATACAAAAGCTTTCGATTATGGATGAATAAGCATCCCTGAGGCCAGTCCAGTCATGAAAACAGGAAGGCTACTGCAGATCTTCACTCTCCCTCCTTTCCTCCAAATCTAATACCCAGTCCCATCTCCAGCTCTGTAGCAAACCACTGGCTGTGGCCTTCTCTTCCTCTGTCCCATGTTTCCCTCCAACCTTCCTGCACACTCACCCTGTTACCCTGGCCCCCAAACCCGGCAGGTATATCCTGGTAGGAGCCAGTCAAGTGCCAGAGAAGCAGGTAAGCCAGAAGAAGAGCCCCACCTCTTCAATCTCCCTCCTCACCTCCATATTCAATCCTAGTCTCCTCCCAAGTTCTGTAACAACCAGCTGCTGTGGCCTCTCCTCACACTTTACCCCCATTCCCAGGGACCTAAACAGATCTAGGTGACACACCCTACTATCTGTTGAACCCTGGAGTCCAACTACCAGGAGGAGTCGCCCCAAGAGACCATCTCTCACACCACAGCTGATTTAAAGCATGAGGATTTTATTAATTCTGTCATGACAGGGTCTTTCAGCATTCGAAAGGCCAGAAAGACCCCAAATAGCTGGTACAGGCTACTTTTAAAAGAAAAAGCCACAGAAGCAAGGGCGGTGTCTGGGAGTTGTTCTTTAACTGTTATGATTGGCTTATTTAAAAGGGATATTAAAAATAATTGGCTGGAGACAGTTGCCAGATCAGATGTGGTAGGAGGAAACATCTGAGGGTCATTGTGGGATAAATGCATGCACCACCATGATTAACGGAATGTAGCACCTGATATCTATGCCACCTCATGTGGCTGCTGTAAATGTGCATATCATGTGACTACTGGGATTAAAGTTGGTGTCAATGTGGCTTCTGGGATTAAAGGTGTGTTTCATTGCGGCTATTTGGATCAAAGTTTTGTGTTCAAGTGGCTAATGGATTTAAACAAGTGTGTTACCATAATAACCTGGTTTGTAAGCCTGATCAATGGGACTGTTTTACTCTCAAAGTTTTAGGCTGTCTTTCTGTCTTAAAATACAATTGAAATGCCATTCAGACAGGGATTCTTAACTCAATAGATACCACTTAATAAAATTAAATCATGATCAGGTAAGCAATATGCATAGAACTATAACCCCTTGTGAAAGAGATAAATAAATAAATAAATAAATAGATAAATAAATAGATAAATAAATAAAAGTCCCCAATTTAAAAAAAAAAGAAGAAGAAAATGAACACAAGGGCAGCACAGAATTTTACCATTCTTTCAAGGAATAGTTAGCAGTAATACTCCTCAAATTTGTTTGTATGTTCATAAAACATAGCTCAGTTTGTTTTATGATGTCACAGTTATTTTAATACCCAAACCACATAAAGACCCCCCCATAAGAGAATTATAGATATTTTTTCCCTTTGAACATCGATGTAAAATTCTCAATAAATATTTTGAAATGTTGGGCCCTAAAGTCCCTCCAAGGAGGAGGTCACCCCAAGAGACACTCTCAGCATGGTTGATGCAATAGCAAGAGTAATTTTTATTCTGCCATGGCAGGAGTTCCTCAGCCTCAAGAGGAGAAGGACCCCGGCTTTGTCTATTACAGGTTCTTTTAAAGGAAAAAATCACAGAATCAGGGAGGGGGTGGTACAGAATCAAAGGGAAAGTCCAGAAATCATTTGTCAACCATTTTGACTAGTTCATTCAATGGTCAGCTAACTCTAATTGATCAATGCTATGGCGATTACAAGAGGAACACCTGTAGGTCTTATCACCCCAGATCCAGGGTCTGGGTCTATAGAAGAAAGACTACAATGGGGATGGAAAGTACTCAAAGGTCCAGTGCACACGTGGTTGGTTACCTGGGTCCTGGTTCCCAGGAAGGGGGGTGCAGTAGTGCTAAGGTGCCCCAAAGTCTTTCAGAAACTTGAATCTAAAAGCACATCAAAAGACCATCCACTATTAGCAAATAGTCCTCATCCTAGAGACTCTAGGATGACTCTATATAAGAAAATCAGTAAATACAAATTCACTATCTTAAAAAAACTGAATGAAAAAAAACCCACATGATTGTTTCTCTTGATGCAGAAAACTCCTTTAACAAAATCCAACACACCTTCATGATAAAAGTCCTGGAGAGATTAGAGATAAAAGGGATAGGCCTCAACAAAATAAAGGCAGTGTATGGAAAGTCCATAGCTAAAATCAAATTAAATGGAGATAGCATTTAATAAAAGCAATTCCACTAAAGTCAAAAAAAGGCAAGGTTGTCCTCTACATACATTTTCAATACAGTAATTGAAGTTGTTGTTCCCTAAAGCACCAAAATGGAGGAGGTTGCCCCAAGAGACACTCTCAACATGCTTGATACAATAGCAAGAGGAATTTTTATTCTGCTGCCACAGCAGAGGTCCCTCAACCTCCAGAGGTACCAAGTCCCTCAGCTGTGTTCCAAAGAAACACACAGAAGACTCCATTACTTATAAACTGGTTGCCCTTAACTCAGGCTTCTTATTATCTCTTACAACTTACATTAAACCCTAATCATTGTCTATGTTAGTTATGTGGCTTGGAACCTTTTGTCAGTTAGGCATTCTCATCTGTCTTCCTTGTGTCTGGGTGATGACTGCAGACGGAGCCTTTCTTTTTCCCAGAGTTCTTCTGCTCTAATCACCACACCTGTCCTTCCTGCCTGTCTACTGGCCAATCAGCACTTTATTAAAACAATACAAGTGACACATTTTTGCAGGGTTCAAGACCATTATTCCACAGGAGTTCCCCTTTATTTTTCAAAACAAGAACTCAGAATCTAATCTCCTTTGTTTTGCTTTCTTCCTAACCAGTATATATAACAACTTGTTACTCCCACTCTGAACATAGAAAATCATCCATAATTCATTTTGGGGGGAATGTTGATATAGTTTTCTAAGCTACTTTCTGCTGATTGGGGGCACTGGTTATCTTATGGTGACCTTGAAAAAATTTAGAATTTTGGCCAAATCCTGACTAGAATATTCTTGGAGGCTTGATCATTTCAATCAGTAGTCTCGAAGCTGTTCTGGATGTACAACTCAGATTTCTGGGCCATTCACGGCTATCAGAGATTTTTCATGGCAGCTTCCTTAATCAAACACATTTTTTTAATCACAAATAAATCCACAGCCTCTCATTTCCTGTTGAAACAAAAGCAAAAGCTGTTCTCCAAAGTAACATACCTTTCGACTCAAATTTTGAACTCAAGGCATTTTTAAAATATGTATGTCGGATTAATCCAGCAACATTTATAATCGAGATGTCATTGTTTTTTACCGCTGAGTAAAACTTTAATGTGTATATGTTCCACAGCTTCTTTAACCATTCTTCTGTTGAGGGGCACCTAGGTTGTTTCCAGGTTCTGGCTATTACAAATAGTGCTGCTATGAACATAGTTGAACAAATGCTTTTGTAGTATGATAGGGCATCTCTTGGGTATATTCCCAAGAGTGGAATTGCTGGGTCCTGAGGGAGGTTGACTCCCAGT